CCCCTCCCCCTGAACATTTTTTACCCCTTTTCTCGGTATCAGATAAAAAACTTGAGATCGTACCTCTGCAAGTCCAAGTTGCAGTTCCCAAGTTGCAGAAAAGTGCAAGAATAAAGTTTAAATAAAAGAGGGTAGAAAAAACCTCGAGTGTGAGAGAGAACTCAATAACTCCAGGGAGAGTCTGAGGAAACTTGCACTTAACCTCCACTGAATTCACCCCCAAAACTTTCTCCCTCAAATGCAAAATAAAAATAGCAAAAAAAAAAAAATTGGCAAACCAGAAATTTAATTGAACAAAAATTTATTTGATGAATGAATCCCTCTGAACTTCCACAGTAAATTCCCTCGGGTTATTAATGGGGTTTTGCTCTTCACCAGGATGAAAAAAAAAAAAACACCCCAGAATTAATTAAAAATAATTAGAAAGCGAATGAAACTTGTTAGCGATCTTGTTGCATTTATTTAACGAATAAGTTCTTTATTGGCAAACTTTCTGGCACTTTTCTCCGTGACAGAGCGACATCCTGGGGTACCTGGAGAGGGCAAGAGAGAGAGAGAGAGATACTGGGGCAGAGGTAATTGTTTCGCAGGATCGCCCTCGGGCCAGAAGTTACTGGCCACGTCGTTAAAACTTTTTCTCCCTCTCTCATTTCTCGTTTTCCATTTTTTTTTTCATCCGCAATTTTAACGTTTTTTTTCCTTTTTTTTGGGGGGGGCCTTTTTTTCACGTCATTCTCGCCGAAGGATAAAAGACGTCTCAAGGGGTTTTTAAAGAGGACTCTGAATGTCCTATTTGAGTTGAAGTTTCTTTCGAGGGCTATACTGAGATACAATTGTTCATCTGTTACGTGAGGATCATTGTGATTATTTTCAGCGCGCTGGCAACACTCTTGGAGTAATTTCAATTGGGTACAAGTTATAGTGATTGCAAAATTACATTTTTGGGGTTTGAAATTAATATTAATTGTCTGAAATGGACAAATTCTACTTAATATCGAGAAATCTGAAAAACCTTCGATCATCAAAGTCTACCCAAACTGGCAGATTCAAGGCTATTTGCTTGATTAAAGTTAAGTATATCAAGAATTGTAGATTTTAATCTACCGATCGTGGTAGAGTTTAATCTACTGGTCATGGTAGATTTTAATCTATCGATCATGGTAAACCTTAATCTGCCAATTAGGGTAGACTTTGATCTACCATTATGGTATGCTTCGATCAACAAATTATGGTAGATCTTAATCTACCAATCATGACAGCCTTATGTCTACCGATTCAGAAATCTGAAAAACCTTCGATCATCAAAGTCTACCCAAACTGGCAGATTCAAGGCTATTTGCTTGATTAAAGTTAAGTATATCAAGAATTGTAGATTTTAATCTACCGATCGTGGTAGAGTTTAATCTACTGGTCATGGTAGATTTTAATCTACCAATAATGGTAGACTTAAATCTATCGATCATGGTAAACCTTAATCTGTCAATTAGGGTAGACTTTGATCTACTATTATAGTCTGCTTCGATCAACAAATTATGGTAGATCTTAATCTACCAATCATGACAGCTTTATGTCTACCGATTCAGACACACTTTTTGTGGGTTAAAATTAATATTACTCATCTAAAATCACAAAATTCTACTTGACATCGAGAAACGCCCGAAACAATGAGAGAACGAAATAAAAATAAGAACAAAAAACACGCCGAGATTATCGACGACAAAAAAAATGGCGCGTTTGAAATGCTAATGTCTTTCAATAATGGATGACAGCCCCTCGGGGTGGACAGTAGGGGGCGGTAGAAACTTGTGGGGTATATTTGGATAAGATCCGCAGTAATACATCTCGGTGACATGCGGCATCCGGGTGAGCTTACATATTCAGCACTGTCGCCATTACCCCACGTGCCACTCTCAAATTTCCCCCTCCTCCGTGTTTTGCAGTTAATTAAATCAACTGTGACCGATTTTAAAATTAGAATCGATCAGCATCGATACAAATTGACCCTCAACTGAACAACACAAACGGCTATTGAACATTTTAATCATCAAAGTTACTTTGTCAAATTAATTGGCAATTATCTTGGATAATATTGGAGGGGCCAGGGGGGGGGGAGTGGAAATTGCCTGCGTGGATAGCCCAGAAAATTTACGGATGGATTGAAAAAAAATCCTTTTTTCGTAGTCAACCGAAAGTCTACTCGAATTGATAGATGAAAGTCTACCCAAAGCAGTAGATTATAATCTACCAGCTAGGGTATTATAATCTACTGACATTGGTAGACCTCAATCTACTATTTACGGTAGACTTCGACCTATCCAAATTCATCACGCAAAATCTACCCTCATTGACAGGGCGAGGTGTATCCAGATTGGTAGATTTTGATCTATAAATTATGATAGACATCATATACCCGCTATAGTAGACTTTGATCTGCCAAACCCGGTAGATTTCTATATTCCAAACCTGGTAGACTTTCATCTACCAATTGTGGTAGACTTTAATCTACAAATTATGGTAGACTTTACTCTACAAATTGTGGTAGACTTTAACCTACCAATTATGGTAGACTTCACTGTCCAAAAAACTGCAATGAAAATAATCGGTAGATTTACTCGCGAAAAAATGAGTAGTTTTGTTATTCTACTCTTTTTTTCCAATCAAAATAATCCCCCCCCCCCCTTCAAAAATCCCAATATCATTCATTCGAATTCGACCTCGTGATCGGCTCTATCCATGTCCGACCACGTACGAGCCTCGCTCTACTCACCGGGCGTTTCATGCCGGAAGTTCACCTCGCGTGTCACATCCGCCATCGTAACTACCAATCACGTCTCCTGGGTGGAAGGCTTTAGCCAAAGAGGCGAGGGTTCGGGGGGTTGGGGGGGGGAGGGAAGAGGGTGGAGATAGAATGCACTGAGGAAGGACAGGCATTTTCACCAAGGGGAGGTTGAGGTAGGCGGTACAGGATTAGAGCAGGAGTTTAGGACTGGCTCGGGAAGGTAACAGGCCGTTTTCAGTTTCCGGGTGACCCTCACAGCCTCTATATGGGATTAATTAAACTCCATAATCCAAATATTCGTACTTATACAGCTGATCGATATCTTCATGACTGGTATTTTCCACACTTCTTTCCCGTTTCCTCCCTCTTTGTTACTTCTTTTTTTTTTTTTTTTTTTTTTTTTTTTTTTT